GCCTGACCGCTCTTGACAGAGCGCTCAGGCGGCTGCAGTACTTAAAGGCCCGGCGTATAACACGCACCCACAATTTCTCCCCTATTTTCAGGGAGAAAAAGTGCGTGTTATACGCCGATAAATACGGTGTGTATATATATATATATATATATATATATATTTATTTATTTTATTTTTTTTCAAATATTTTAAATTAATAATGAATTTAATAATAGTACAAATCGGGGAAACGTGCGTGTACTTAAATTCTGCGGCATGCTATGCCGCCCTAACCTTGTTAAAGCCCATTAACTCCGGGACGGCATAGCACACCGTAATGGCGTTAACGGATTAAGAAAAAAAATAAATCAATAAGAATAAGTAAAAACAAAGTCTATTAAAATTTAAAAATAATCACATAAAACAAAATATATATGATAAACCTAAATCAAGAGCTTCTGATGTGATTCCTCATTGTGACATCACATCTCTGCACCTTACTTTCCTTGGTGGTTGTGGTCTCTAAGGAGTTGAAGGCTATGGAGTATTGGGATCAGCTGAAAGAAAAGAGTTCAGCAGGCTCATCTGTTCTTCAGGTGTAACAACTGTATAATTGCAGTCTTCTAATCGAAATAAGACTTTTGTAGGGAATACCCAGTGATATCGGATGTTCATTCAGCGCAATTCAGATGTGAACTGCCCAAATTCTCTGCGTCTCTGAATTGTTGAGGAAGAAAAGGCCTGAAAAATCATTATATGCTTGAATTCTTAAGGTAGAGCAGTAGATCTCAATGCTAGAAGGAAATTTTCTTTTGCAGTATAGAAATTAATCCTGGTGATGACATCTCTAGGAGCATCTAAGGGTAGATTCAGGTTTAGGAAGTCTGTGAATGCGATCAATAGTCAGATTCAAGTCTGTGAAACTTGGTCTGACTGATCTCATCACAGCCTTTAAATAATTAGCCCGTTCATCTGGTTGAATGGAATCAGGGATTCCCCTCACTCGAAAATAGTTTCCGCTGCTCCTGTCTTCCAAGTTTGCTAGCTTAGTATCAGCAGATTTAAATTGTGTTTCCAAAGCTTGTACATGATCAGCCAGGTTTTTGTGGTCTGCTGCTTGTTTTATCAATGTAACATTCAAAGCATCAGTTTTATTTTCCAGTGCAGCTAAATCTTCTCTGAGGTCTTCTCTAAGCTGCTCCCTTACGGCTTGAAGCATATCCCAGATTTGTTCTAAGGAAGCTGGGTATCCTATGAGTTTAATTGCTGATAATGGGGCTGAGAGCTAGTATATATTAATGAGGCTCTGTGTTTATGTTGTACTTCCATTTCAGGAGCCAACTGTGCTCCTGTGATGGTCCGGCTCTCTTTCTGTTTCTCAGATTGCCCGACCTGCAGATGTCTTCTCAGGAGTGACAGTTGATCTTAAAACAGCAGCAGCGGTTTCAGATTTCTTTTTGTTTCTTCATTATCAGTGTTAGTATATGAATCTATAAAGATTAATTTTACTCAATTTAAACTGAAATAGAAGGCCTTTTATGAATGATATAGATCTAGTGTCCCTGGAGCTCACTCAAACGGTGGCTATTCAAGTCACAGGCCAAACCATGCCCCCTCAAAAAGAATTACAAAAAATTACTAAAGAATTAATTTGGCACCCTATTTCTAAAAGTCCTTAATTATCTACAATGTTTCCATCAACGAAAATCTCATAAAAACTTTGGATGTATTGTTTAAAACTTTAAAACCCAACTTGTCTTGGTCAAGACCTATGCTGCTTTCTATCCTAAATCATTATTATCCACAAAAAGATTTGACTGATTGGCGCTCCAAAGTCATAAACAATATTGATAGTTTTTTTTCAAAAATTATTCTCTAATGTCGTTTGAAAAATGTAAAATAAAAAATGATTTGGACAATAGTTGGTCCCCCCGGTACTCCGCAATTACAGAGATCTTACAAGAGTAATTTGACGTGCCCAATCCTGACCACAAATTTGAAAAATTTAAAATTTTTCGAACCTTGAAAAAAATGTATTGATTTCACCCAAATAAAAAATATATGATCTTGTTATGTTATTCTTATTTTTCTCAGTTCAAGATCCAAAACCAGATTATATGCTAGCCTGAGAAAAATATTTGGGTCTGCAATGGGACCTAGAGTAATGGCTTGCATTCACATTATCTCTCAAAGGGATCACACAGTGTTTCTTTCAACCATTTAGAAAACCAGAATTATATACCAGTGGCACCTGGCCCCTTCAAGACTTGATAAAATGAACACAAAATATTTAGATAGGTGTAGGATGGGTTGTGGAGGCCTTGGTACTTTTTCACATATATGGTGTCACTGTGCAAAATTGCAGCTGTTCTGGTAGGGAATACATTCACTGATTAAAAAGATAGATCCATCAATTATAACATTCTCTCCAGAGATGGGTTTATTCAAACATCTCCCTAAGACATCAAGTAAATTAGGTGGAATCATGGTAGGCCACATTCTTATTCTGGCCATGTTGATCATACCTTGTTATTGGAAGTCTACTACCTTACAATCAATTAAGGAAGTGCTTGATAACAAAAGGTATGAACTGGCATTGCGTCAAGCCTCACCTCAAAAAGTGAATTTGCAGTTTCATTGGGACACCTGGGAAAATGATGTAAGTAAAGAGTTTCTCCTTTAGACAATTCAACACACATTGTCACATATTGATATACAATACATTTAGACATACAATTGGTTATATTACTCTCTGTATTATATTTTGACAGAAACAAATCCATTATTTTATTATTGTACATTTGGATAGTACCTGTCCCCTCCCTTTTTTATTTCTATTTCTTTTTTAACCATTTTTTCACCTTCCCTTCTTATTTTTCTATTGTTAAATGTAATTTCTTTATATACCAAATTAATGTGAAACATTTTTTCTAAAATACTGTTTAATAAGAAATTTAAAAGGAAACCACCCATTGTTTGACAAACTATGCAAAATTATCCAACTCCTGGCTGACAAATTTTCCCTGTTATATCCCAGACCAAAACTTTTGTATTCATGAATCCCTTATGAAATTGAAAGGTAGCCTACTGTTCAAACAATTTATCTAATTGAAGCAGTTTCTATAGGGCATGATATTTTATAAATTATATGAATCCAGTAGCTATACTGGCTATATATGGGCCTTTCAGATTTATCAAGGGAAAGTTATCTGTCTTGACCCACCGCATGCTCTGATTCTGTGGGCACAAATCGCAAGATTGTGTGTTATCTGATTCTTCGCTTGTTAAATAAGAGCATCCATGGGTTGATAACTATTATGCCAGTATTGATTTATTTAAACATTTATATTGTTTCGAAACCCTAGGACTATCCGTACCCCTGTTCCCTCAGCTCCTTGTATGACTCCATCTGCTCCTACAGTTGTTAACGATGCTGAACCTATGCAACTGGGAGTGATGAAGCTGTCAGAAGCAGAGAAACAGTACCATAGAGCTGAGGGTCTCTGCCTGTATTGTGGCAAAAAGGGGCATCTGCGTCTATACTGCCCAATACGTCTGGAAAACCTCCGCACCGTTAGAGGACCGGCCTTAGGTGTTATGAAATCGTCCTCTATCTTGCCTCACAACCAATTCCTCCTATCTATAGTTCTATCTTGGGGCGCTCATAATATACCATGTAAAGCTTTTATCGATGCAGGAGCTGCTGAGAATTGTATAGATACGAAATTTGTTAATGACCTTCTTCTCCCCCTGAGGGAGAGAGCCACACCTTTGGCCGTTGAGGCCATAGATGATAGACTCCTTCTGGCACATCTTATAACCCATGAGACCCTTCTGTTATCCTGGTCTGTTGGTATACTGCATATAACTCTGCAGGTCATTTCATGTCCTGTCATTCTCAGTTTTCCCTAGTTGGTGAAACATAATTGTTCTTAGATTGGGTTAAGGGTGAGATGTATTAATGGGCTACTATCTGCAAGGAACTATGTCTTCTCCCAGTGATCCTCCCGCAATACCTCCATGTCAGGGAGGTGTTTAACAAAACTAATGCTGAGACGTTACCCCCACACCGACCCTATGACTGTGCCATTGACCTTCTTCCAGGTACTATGTCAACTAAAGGAAGGGTGTATCCTCTATCCCCTATGAGAGTGAAATCATGGAAGAGAATATCCAGGATGCCATTGCCAAAGGTTTTATACATAGGTCTTCCTCTCCTGCAGGTGCAGGTATCTTCTTTGTGTCTAAGAAAGTGGGAAACCTACGACCATGCATAGATTATCGAGGCCTTAACAAGATCACTATAAGGAACGTCTGTCCGATTCTGAAGGGGGCTACTGTATTTACGAAATTAGACTTCAGGAGTGCCTATAATCTGGTCGGGCTAAAAGAGAACCATGAATGGAAAACCGCATTTAACACAAGGACAATTCCAGATTATATTACAAATATCTCGTAATGCCTTTTGGATTGTGCAATGCTCCGGCGGTTTTCCAAGACCTGACTAACAATTTATTACGGGAATACATTAATTCTTGTGTTCTAGTCTATCTTGACGATATTCCCATATATTCCCCAGATATTGCTACCCACTTCGTTCATGTATCCCAAGTGTTTACGACACTCTTACGTAATGGTTTATATTGCAAATTAGAGAAATGTTTATTTCACCAGACAGAGGTACAATTCTTGGGCTACATTATTTCAGCCAAGGGTTTTGAAATGGATCCAAAAAACCTGATGCGGTCTTGCAATGGCCCAGACCTAAAGGCCTTAAAGCCATTCAGAGGTTCATCGGCTTTGCCAACTACTACTGCAGATTCATAAAGGGATTCTCCTCAGTCATATCTCCCATTACTGGTCTCACACGTAAAGGGGCTAAAACCCATGTCTGGTGTCCTGCAGCTCTGTACCGCTGATTATGTATGTGATCTAACAACCCTCTGGCACCTCGTAATTCTCTTTGCACTATATTGCACTGTGTTTCTGTATTTTTGCTGATGAAAACCAATAATAAATAAGTAAAAAAACTTTACATTTTTGTTTGTAAAGACAATATGTATTGTAATAAACCACACTAAATGAAATAAAAGCAAATGGAGGATCTATCCTTCTGAAATGTATTCTTTTTCCCTTTCCTGTAAATGATTTTTGGAATGTTTGGCAGTTGTCGTCCTAGGAATTCTATACTATACTAGTTTTTTAAGGATTCTATTGATAGAGAAAGCCTTAGAATTATACTGTATACTTGAATGCGAAATCAAATTGATTTTTTAGGGTGGGCATCTGTTTGGGCTTATCAAGCAAGAGTTCTCCTCTACTAATGTCTCCGATTTTTTTGAACCTCCACTTTTAGATTTTCTTTATTATAGCCTTTTTGTCAAAAATTCGGCTTGTTCTTCATATAGTTTTTGATCAGAACAGTTTCGCCTTAGTCTGGTATACTGGCTTTTAGGAACCCCTGCAAGCCATCTAGGATGATGTCCACTGATGGACTGAATGAAACTGTTCATATCTGTAGGATTAAAGTATGTTTTGGTTCTAATTTTTGAACCTTATATAAAGATAAAGATCCAGAAAATCTGTGGAGGTTGGGTTGAAAACAGGTGTAAACACTAGTGATAATACATTATTATTAAGGTATGTGAAGGTACAAGGATATCGTCGATATATTGACGCCAGAGCACCAGGCTTGCCCCAAATGGATTATTATTCCAAATAAACATCCATTCCCAATAATCCATAAAGATGTTAGCATAGCTGGGGGCAAACATGGTGCCTTTTGCCATACCCTTAACTTGCAGGAAAAACTCATCATTGAACAAGAAAAAGTTATGCGTTAATATGAACCCAATTGTCTCGAGCAAAAAAAGCCCAAATTTTGATCCAAATCTTATCTCCCTCCAGATTGTTCCTCATGGCTTCTAAACCCTGATTATGCGCTATGGTTGAATATAGAGAACTTATGTCAAGTGTTACCCAGACGTAGTCTCTATGCCATTCAATGGAATCCAACTCTTGTAGTAGATGTTTAGTGTCTTTCAGGTATGACTTGGCGGATTGTGCGTATTTTTGCAGTGAGTGATCTATAAATTGAGACAATTTAGATGTGCGGGAATCAATCCCACTTATTATTGGTCTACCGGGTGGGTTTCTTTTGGACTTGTGTACTTTCGGAAGAAAATAGGTCGGAATTCTGGGATGTTCTTCTAAAAGGAATTAATAGATATTAGTGTCAATTATATTATTTTCCTTAGCTTTTTCCAGTAAAATCTTTAATTCCTTCTTAAAAGGTACATTTAGGTTTTGGGTAACTTTAATATATATGGTGCTGTCCCCCAATAGTCTATATGTTTCTCTCAAATAGAAGTCTACGGACATGACCACTATGCCACCACCTTTTTCTGATTTTTTTATAATTATATCTTCTCTTTTTTTCAATTGATTAAGGGTTTGCATTTCCTCTCTGGTCATATTATTGCAATGTTCTTTTTTTACTGGTTAGTTTCTCTAAATCTAATGTCACCATTTTGTTAAAGACTTCAATTTGGTTTCCTTCTCTATGCTGCCCTCTCTGGACTTGTTCTCTTCCTCTTTGTTGGGGTATCCTGTTCTGTTAGAGGGGGAAATCGATTGCTTAAGTCTATCCTGTTGGATTTGGGAGCAAAATATTGTTGTTTCTTTTTTCTTTACCCTTTGGTCTTTCCACCCATCTTACACCCAGTCTATTTCAACTTAAAAATTCCATCACAACTAATACCACAAGAAGGGGATTCTATTTTTGTTTGTACGTTTAGGAGAATACCATAAACCTTATACAACTATTTGAATTAAAAAACTATAAAAACCTACTGGCAAAATGTGCTAAAGTTGTATATAGATGGAGACATGACAAACCGATAGCATTGATTAATAAATGTGAAAAAGAATTACAAGTACCTATAGAAGAAGAACAATGGATACATTCCTAAAATAAACTAAATAAAATATTCACTGTTTAAATCTTTTAGAAACCCAATTTAAACTGTCAAATAGATGGTAAATGCTTAAAGGACTGTGGTCTGGGTACCAGGTCCAGCTAGGGTTAACCCTTTTTTTAATAAACATATCAGTTTCAGAGAAAGGGGGGACAATAGGTCCCCCCTTTAGTTTAAAAGCGTATGGGTGGGGGCTCAGGAGGGGTAAATGTTTTTGGGTTTTTTAAGTGAGCAGCCACAGGCTGCTCACTGTTTAATAGACATGCCCCTACTCGCGGTATAGCGAGTAGGGGCATAATTTAATAATACTAAGTAACCAGCTTATATAGAGGCTGGGTCACATGCTGCACTGGCCAATCACAGCCATGCCATTACTAGGTATGACTGTGATGGCTTCTAAGGGCAAATGAGTCAAACGCTTGTTGATTGGCTGCCCTGCAGCCTTTCAAAACGCGTCATTAAATCGCCGAACATCGAACCCGAACATACAGTGATATGTCCGTGTTCGGGTCCGGGGTCCAAAAAACTTAATGTTCAGTATGAACCCGAACTTTACAGTCCGAGTTCGCTCAACTCTAATTATAACAAAAAACAAGCATAACATTGTCAGAAAAGAAAACTTAAAACATTGTCTAACGACAACCCTGAAAAAACATCTCCCAAACAAAAATTTCAGGGAAAAAGTTCGCTGGTGCGAATTTAGTGATACAATTTTTATTGGATCAGTAACTTTAATGGAGATATTCTCCAAACTAAATTATTCCTTATTTCACTGATGACAATGTAATTAATTGAATAATGAAACATTAAAAAATATTGAGGTGTCAGCCCGATTACTTGGGCTTTCATCAGGATGGCATTGCCGTCGATATTTTTTAATGTCATAAATTAAAAGTTATATTTTATTATTACTCATACGAAATCCTTGGAGTGCGGTCATTTTCATTTATATTTAACACAAATTGGTGGCTCTACCTCAGATCTAGATTTCCTTCTGTATAAATTTCAATACAAAACTTGCTATCTTTATTTGTGAAGTACAACCATCTGTCAATAGCCCATCTTGTTTAGATCTTTTGACTAATATTTGGTGAAAAGAACATAATTCAGAATCCGTTTTAAGAGGTCAAAAAAATTACAATAAAGTTGTCATAAATATACGTGATATCCTTAAACTAATACAAAAAAAAGTAAATAAATAAGTGAAACATAGGTTTTGTGTAAACAGCTTGTGATTATAAAGCAGAAGCTAGAAATAAGATTCTTAAATATTATTGTGAATTTTTAGTTTATCTCTAGCCTGTAGATTGTGTTTTAATATTACAAGATATTATCATAAAAAGTGCAAAAAATACGGTACTGTCATACTCCTTTATCTCTATAAAAGTGATTAGTACACTTAAAAACACTCTTTGACTAACTCAACATTTTCAGTATTCTAAAAAGATCATCTCCTATTAGTCCCAAGTCAATTCTAATATTTATTCAAGAATGCCTAAATATTGAATTTTTGAAAGATCCTAAACAGAGTACTTTCACATTGTGAATTCTCCTAATTTGTAATTTTTAATATTTTTGTAAATGCCTTTAAACCTTACGTTATTACGATGTGATCTATCTTCGATATCAGTTATGTTAGAATCAAAATCTTTTATCTGATTTTTTTTAATAACTCATTTCATCCTGTAATTTTTTCCAACTTATTGTTTTGCTCCACATTTTTAGAATTTAGAGCTGTGACCTCTTCTGTCATATTTTGTTTAAAATCGTTCTTAATTTTCTCATACAGCTCGTCCACTAATTTGATCAAACTTCTGGTGGAGAAATGTCAGGGATGGGGATGGGATTAATTGTTGATGAGCTTTCCAATGGACAGGGTGAAAGAGATATTTTTTTGTGCTTGGGGTTTATCTGTTTTGGGAGAATAATTAACATTAATGGATTTGTTTGTATCAGGTTTATCGGTTGTCTTTTTGGGAGGCATATTTTGTAGCACAGTTTAAAAGTCAAAGCCCTATACGACAGACAAAAATATATATTTTTTAAAAAGTATATATGTTTCTGCCTTTCCCTCTTATTAAGTTACCAATCAACTCCTGTGGCTCTTAAAGAAGAAATCACTTTTAATGTAATATATTGCGTTAGATGATAAACATATAATGAATCCTCTCCAAATAAAAATTTAAAAAATACTTTAACAGTGATAGAAAAAGCAAAAATATTAAGTTTTTTTGTATTTCCTCTCCTTAATCTCTTAATCTCCCCCTTTTTTGTTATTTTTTATTTATTTCTTAACGCTTTCTTTCCTCATTAATTTCTCCCTCCCAATGTTTTATCCAACACCCCTTTTTTTTTTCTCTTTCAGAAGTAGTGAAATATATTGTCCAATAACTGGTTCAGTAAAATTCCAAATTAAATAAGAGGTCAAGCATAGAAAGATCAGTTCCCTTGATTTCTTCTATTTTCACCTTTTCTATATATTTTTTTTTATTCTGCTTCAGAGGTAACTTCAGGTGTAACAGTTATTTATTTCTAACTTGTGGTCTTCTTAGAAAATTACGGTGTATACTAACAGCCAAGATAATGTTATGAAGTTCTATTTTTAGAACTTGTAGTATAAACATGGTAGCTTTACTAAACAGTTATTTGGGCATGTCATTCCAAAAGTGTTTAGTTTGATGAAGAAAGAGTATAGATAAATAGGAATTAATCTATTATTGACGCTTGTATGTGCTTTTATAGGTTACTGGATCTTGCAGAGTTGATCATTCAATCCCCAGTCATCATTTCAATGGATCTCAGCCGATGGGGCACCACATGTGGAAATCAGGATTTAAATACCTTAATATGAAGTTTGGGCATTCAGTGTTGTTTGCTTCAGTTTTAAGGTTGTTAGTTATTTGCCAAAAGGTAGACTGTATCTCATTTCCACATCTTGTAAAGATTTAATCGCCAAAGCGTCTCCTCGATGGATCCCCCCAGGTGAGACCAGCCACGTGGATCTACAGGTATGGGTTCCTCAATGCTGACTTCGGTCTTAAGGACTGACCTCTAGTTTAAGGTTATCAGCCCAGCTCATATCACCATCTCCTGCCTTTAGTAGGTCAATCGAGTCGGTTGTAGGAGTATAACATGGCTGCCTCTCTCTCAGTTGACTGATGTACAGCTTAAGCATGTCTCCATCTTCCTTTAGTCTCGCCACGCCAGTGAACGCGTAGGTGCGTCCGTTCAGCGGCGACGTCATTGTGTTCTATGTCATCTACTGTAGCGGGCGATTTTAATTGTATCCTTGTCCATGTTATGAATACGGGGGTGTACCTAGAGCATTTAGCACCTGGGGTGACCCTGTGTTTGGCACCCCTTCCCCCCCCTTAAAAATGTAAAAAAAACCACCCACAATTTATTTTCAATATTTTCAAGAATATTTATTGCAAACCCCCCTTCATATAAAAACCCTGCACCCCCTACACATCAGATTCATACCCCCCTTCATATAAAAACCCTGCACCTCCAACACATAAAAATCCTGCACCCCCACAAATAAAAATAATGCCCCCCCGTTCACATAAAAATTGTGCACCCCCCACACATAAAAACCCTGCACCCACCCTACACATCAAATCCATACCCCCTTCAAATAAAAACCCTGCACCCCATCACATAAAGTTCTACACTCCCTACACATAAAAACCCTGCACCCACTTCACAAAGTTTATACAGCCCCTACACATAAAAATTCTGCAGCCACCTACACATCAAATGCATACACCCACCCTACACATAAAAACCCTGTAAGACATTTCAACAAAACATTTCTAAGCAACAGTCAAGTGTCATGACATCTTGGGGTTTTGTGTTTCTTTTTTAATTTTACCTTTTTATTGTTTCTGGCCCAATTATTGCTACTCCTGGTTTTGGTGTCAATAATGATTATTAATTAAATATACACTTTTACTTATCAAAAAAATATATATATTTTTAGATATCTGCATATGTCATAGTTATACAATAGGTGTGCTGATATAGAACTTAATCAACTTATGGGATCTGAAATTGTCGCACTTGTCTAGTTGTGGAGTGTCTTTTAAGCAGTCTTCTGCTTAGCTAATACCAGAAAGAGAGAATTGCCCAGCAAAATAGGTTCCCCTAATGGTGGAAACAATTGTAGGCAATTTAAATGAAAGCCTTTTCTCATACCATGCACTAATACACCCCCTACACATAAAAATTAATTTAAAAAAAAGTGCACCCCCCTCGTCTTCACATAAAATACTCTACTCACATTTGATGATGCCTGTGCGGCACTGACCTGCTCTGCTCCGAGTCTCCGACCACTGGTGCCTCACGTGACATCAATCAGATGATGGATCCTTTAACTGCTTCCTGAAGATCCGTGAAGGTGGACAGGCGGCAGTGGTGCACATCGGCATTATGACGGCGTCACGTTGCATGACGCCGCAACACTCTGCTCCTAAATATTTCTGCAGTTAGTGCAGTATAGTACAGCCAGCCGGCCAAAGATGCGGCAGCAAAAACGCTGCAGCCCGCACTATAAGAATTGATGGGGGGGTGACTCATCACACTGGCAATCATGGCACCCCCTAGTGAGTGGCACCCGAGGTGGGCCACCCCCCTTCCCCTCCCCTTAGTATGCTTGGTATGGATAAGAAACTCCTAAAGGGGAGTGTTGTACATGACAAAGTAATAGAATATTCTAGATCGCTAACACTCTTAATAACTTTGATCACTTCAATGTCTGGCAAATCCTTAATCCAGACATTAAGAGAGATTATACACACCTGTCTATAGTATATTTCACATAGTCTAGAATCAATATGGTCTGGGGTAATTTGAATTTAGTTGATAGTTTAACCCCTTAAGGACTGGACTGTTTTTGCAATGTACATTTGCGACCAGGCCTCTTTTTACACTTTTGTGGTGTTTGTGTTTAGCTGTAATTTTCCGCCCTCTCATTTACTGTTTCCATACAAATTATATATTTATTTTTTCAGGACAAAAGAGGCTTTCTTTACATACCATTATTTATATAATCTCATGTAATTTAATTTAAAAAAAATAAATGATGAAAAATTGAAAAAATACATGTTTTTTTTACTTTTACTTGAAAAATCTATTACTCATCTTCAAAAGCGAATGAAAAAAACTGCTAAATAGATTCAAAATTTTGTCCTGAATTTAAAAATACCCAGTGTTTACGTGCTTTTTTGCTTTTTTTTTTTGCAAGTTACAGGGCTATAGGTACAAGTAGGATATTGCGGTTTTCAAAACTTTAAAATTTATCAATAGTGACATTGTAACACTATTATCTGTCATAAATCTCTGAATACCACCCCACATGTACATATTTTTTTTAAAGTAGACAACCCAGGGTATTCAATATGGGGTATGTCCAGTCTTTTTTAGTAGCCACTTAGTCGAAAACACTGGCCAAAGTAAGCATTCATATTTGTTTGTGTGTGAAAAAAGTAAAAAAACTAAATTGAACGCTAATTTTGGCCAGTGTTTGTGACCAAGTGGTTACTAAAAAAGACTGGACATACCCCATTTGCAATACCTTGGGTTGTCTTCTTTTGCAAATGGTATGCCATCATGGGGGTAATTCTCATTCCTGGGCTACCATACGCTCTCAAAGGCAACGTAACCAACCTGGCCTTTTCAATGTAAAAATATTTGACCCTGTAACTTTCAAAAACGCTATAAAACCTGTACATGGGGGTTACTGTTATACTCGGGAGACTTTGCTGAACACAAATATTAGTGTTTCAAAACAGGAAAACGTATCACAACAATTATATCATAAGTAAAAGTGCTGTTTGTGTGTGAAAAATGCAAAAAAAAGTCACTTTCACTGACAATATCATCGCTGTGATATGTTTTACTGTTTTGAATCACTAATACAAGTAAAACAGTACCCCCCCCATGTACAGGTTTTAGGGTGTCATAGAAAGGTACAGGGTAAAATATAGTGCTAGCAAATTAAATTCTCTGGACTTTCGGTCTGGGTTGGCAGGTAGGTCCCTCAAATTGCAATCAATAAAATTACTTAATTATGTAAAAATATGACATAAATACGCACATAGAATTTAAATATATATGCATATTTATATATTTGAAGTCTACGTGTATATTTATATAATTATTTATGTAATTTTGTATATGGACATATGTATATTTCGTATTATTTTTATTTATTTATATATACATAGATATATATACAATTTCATTCTAAGTGTATTTTGAGATATATATATATATATATATCTATCAAAATACAGTTAGAATAAAATTTCATATAGATATATTTTTTTTAATTTTTATTATTATTTTTATGTTTTTATTTAATTTAAATTACTTTTTATTTGTATTTTATAATAATATTTATATACAATATATATAGTTATATATATTATATATATACGTGTGTAATTTAATTCTAAGTGTATTTTTATATTAATATATGTACATATTAATATAAAAATACACTTAGTATGACATTATATATATGATAGACATATATGTAGACATATATTATAAATAAAAAATCGAAAAAAAGAGAGCGCATATATAGATAGAATGGATAACCTAGATGATAGTCAATATATATTCTAGTTAAAACAATGTAGATAGTATTCAAATTACTATAATAATTTTAGCAGCTAAAACAATAAGAAATTTCCCAATTTCAATGTACAAATACCAATGTAAGATTCAGCGCTTAGTGAATAATCCCCTTACAAATGACAAGGGTGCATTTATATGCAAATAGTGCATGTAGTGATATACAAAATATAAAAAAGAATGTCCAAATTATGTAAAACAAATATATAGTCCTGCACAGAAACAAAGTCCAAATATTGTAGCAATATGTAGGGATTCAGAGATATGCGATGATACCTTGGAGAAAAAGAAACATAGAGAGATACATAGTGTGACTCTGTATCAAAATTTATTTCCCAAGATAAAAGACAAAATGATATCTCCCCCCCAAAATAAAAACTCTTACACTATATAAAATATAGTACTCATCGTTGTGGATCATGCAGGGAAAAGTCTTTCTTTCAAATCTACTCGTGATGTGAAATGAAGGCTGATGGTCTGTTTCCTCCCAAAATGCGGCAGCTGCCCGGTGCACACAGGCAGACTGGTCGTGTTGGTATCAGTGGGGAAACACTCACGGTTAATTCAGCTTCTGTTGAAAGTTTGGGTGGTCTTCTGCATATGAGTAATATTAGCACCTTATCAACGCGTTTCGCCCTTTTTCTGAGGGCTTTTTCAAGATAGGTGCTCTGTGGATGGCTCGGCAGTTTTATACTTTGCCGGGCAAACGAATTCAAATCTCTTAAAGGTGCATACCCTTATTTTTAAAGACTTGTGTTAGAACGTACAATAACTCGAATAAATAAATACAAAATACTTCCTGACAATATATGTAAAAAATAAATAAAATACAATGTTCTTAAAGTATAATATGATACATAAATATATAAAAACCAAGAACCAGAAATAAAGTCTTAAAGATAGCAATTATTCTTACTGACATATTGATATATTTAACCCCTGGATTTAGATGTTTTGTATCAATCTAATCGATCACCATCAGTTTTTACTATTCATTTAAGATCTAACATATATATTTCTCACTTAATAGTTTTTGCATGTCACTGCACACTGCTTCATTGTCACAAATTTTTCCATAGGGACAAAAAACTTTATACCGAATAACATTACTAGAATAGTTATATTTCTTAAAGAAAAGGGGGAAAAAGGATATGTTAATATTTATATCAGATAGATCTCTAAAAATACATTCTGATATTTTTCATTCATATTCTTTTAAAAGAGAATTCCTAATTTTTCAAAATATATACTCCCACTGTTCTCTACATATTAAAAACATATAAAAAAAGACTTAATTTCTTAATCACAATTGTATAATATACATTAGTCTTAATTCTAATCTTAGTGTTATTATAGTATATTGGCCAATTCTAGTTCTGCATTAAGGCCCGAAGGGATCAAGGTTTTTAAATTATAGATCCAGAACATTTCCCGGTTCGTCAGGGTTTTGCTTAATTCGCCTCCTCTCCATGGTATTAATACCTTTTCAATACCACAATATAGGAGAAGTGTTGGGTCTCCATTATGATGTGTTCTGAAATGGTGGGAGAGGGAGTGTTTCTCAAAACCCCTTTTGATGTTATAAACATGTTCTCTAAGTCGGATTTTAAGTGTCCTTTTAGTTTGTCCCACGTATTGGAGGCCACAAGGGCACTCCAACATATAGATGACCTGTTTAGTGTTACAAGTGATACAATCTTTGATGTCAAATGTTTCTTTTGTCACTGAGGACTGAAAAGTAGTATAGTTTTTCCCTTTAGAACTCAATTTGCATATGTTACAATTTCCACATTTGTAGAACCCTTTTTGACCAGTTAAAAAATGATGAGGTACTATTGGCTTATTGCAACTATGTACCAATCTATTTTGCAGTGTTGGAGCCCCCCTAAATATTACCCTCGGTTGTATAGGTAAAATCGCAGCCAGAACAGGATCCTGTCTCAACAAGTGCCAATGTTTTTGTACACTTCTTTTTATGCATTGTGCTTGTGCGCTATAATTAAACACCAAAGGGCATAGATTCTCAGTGTCTTTATCTGTTTTGGCCTTTTCCTGTTTGGTCTGTAAGAGGGTTGAACGTTCTATAACTTTTACTTTTTGGAGTGCTGTATCTAGTGTTTTCTCATTGTAATTTTTTTCTATAAATTGTTGTTTTACCTTTTGGAATTGTGAATCACATACTTCTGGATCCGTACAGTTCTTTTTGACTCTTAAAAATTGGCTAAATGGAACATTTGATAGCCATGATGGATAGTGACAGCTTGAGGTCCAAATATAGCTATTCACGTCTACACTCTTAAAAAAGGTCTTTGACTTAAGAGTGTTATATTGGTCAATATAAAGAACCAAATCCAAGAAATCTATGTCTGTAGTGCTATACTTGTATGTAAACGATAAATTGTATTCGTTCTTATTTATATAAGCTAAAAATTCAATGAGCTCCGCCTCATCTCCTTTCCACACAAAGAAGCAGTCATTAATGTACCGTCTATAGAAGACCAGGTTCGACCCCCACTGATGTCCTTGCCAGACAAACAAATTATCCCAGTGGGCCATAAAAATGTTGGCATAGCTGGGGGCGAACCTGGTCCCCATAGCAGTACCATTGGTCTGTAGGTATATATCACTACCAAACCTGAAAAAAATGTTGTTTAGTATAAAGTCGATACATTCAATTAGGAATTCTACCTGTTCTACTAACATGGTTGGCTCCTCATACAAGGTTTTTCTAATTGCCTCTAGCCCCAGGTTATGCTTGATAACGGTATACAGCGATGTAACGTCGCATGTTACCATAAAATAATTTTGCTCCCATTTTAGGCCTTCTATACTTTTTAATAGGTCTCCACTGTCTTTTAAGTATGACCTCGCCTTTTTAACAAAAGGTTGTAATATGGCATCTATATACTGGGATAGGTTACATGTTAAAGATCCTATCCCAGAAATGATAGGCCTACCTGGAGGATTTGAGAGGCTCTTGTGTATTTTTGGCAGCTGGTAAAATACCGTTTTTTTAGGATATATAACCATCACAAACTCCAATTCTTTTTGATTCAATATATTTAAAAACTTTCCCCTCTCCAATATATTGAACAGACGTTGTTTAGTATCTAATGTAGGATCCCCCCTTATTTGTTTGTATGGTATAGGGGATCATTCAGAATTCTTCTACATTCTGCATTGTGGTCTTTAGTATTTAGGACCACAATTCCTCCTCCCTTGGCACTTGTTGAGACAGGATCCTGTTCTGGCTGCGATTTTACCTATACAACCAAGGGTAATATTTAGGGGGGCTCCAACACTGCAAAATAGATTGGTACATAGTTGCAAAAAGCCAATAGTACCTCATCATTTTTTAACTGGTCAAAAAGGGTTCTACAAAT